AGCCCCAGCACCATGGAGGAGGCCCCCGGTGCCGCAGCAGAGGCATCTGGGCTGGAATTCGGCTCCGCTGAGCGGGATATAATCAGAGTTCCGCATCTTGCTATGGAGGTGATTTCCTTTGAAACGTTCACAGGGCAGCGAGGTCCCATGCGTTCCTTACAGAGAGACGCCTTCATGGAAGCAGTTTCAATAGGAAGAAGCAAAGCAAGCTAACAATTATCGCAGAAAGTAAATGTAGTTACAGTCCTGTGTATCAGCAGCATCCTGAAGTAGGTGTTTCTCACTCGGCTCTTAGCACGTTTCTGCTGTGGACACTTTAAAAAGGAATTTATCCACATTTCACAGATGTGCATACTCAGTTTTGATTTTTTTGTGGTTTGTTGTTGATAAGCTTTCTTCTTCCGTTGCTACTGCACAATACTTGAATTTGGCAAATGGTATGGGATGAAACAGTGTCTCTCTAAAAAGAAAGAAAGAAGGCAATAATGTGGCTACTTTGTAGTGCAAGCTGGAAGACTTTCTTTAATAAATGCCTAAGGGCCTTTTTAAATAGATGTGAGCTAGAAACATATGAACTTAAAAGTGGTATGTAGGATTTTTGTCAGGATCTTTACTATCTTAATGCTAGCTGGGTGGCTGTTTTTACAAATGAGGTTGGACTAAATTAAACTTCAGTGCCCTGTGACAAAAAGCAGCTGTTACAGTACCATAGCACTAACATTAAACAAAGTACCCAACCCATCCTAGTGCTGCTGTTCTGCTTTTTGCCTGTGTTGTATGCTAGGCAATGGAGGCAGAGACCAGGAACGACAATGAAGAGGAAGAGTCTGTTCCTCTGGAGGACCAAGAAGAGATGTTTCCCCCAGCAGAAAGAGATGTCTGTGGAGCTACAGAGCCATTCGTTGGTTCTGCAGAAGTGAGACACTATAATAATACATATATTCTTATTCACAGAATGCATGACCATTATTTGTAACTTCAAATTTTCCCGGTGCAGTTTTATTGCTGCAAACACAAAACCAATCAGAATTGGAACAGAGAGAAGCTAATTGGTCAAGCACAAAGTATATAAAAACTCTGACAAAACTGGAGAGTTTCCTTTGTTGTGCTATATATGTGTGAAGGTATTTTTTTATACCAGGAGTAATACAGCGTTGCCAGTATATCTATGTGCTGATCTTAGGACAAGGCTCTCTTGTTGATTCTTTGTCTGCATTGTTCATGTCTCATGAAGACAAAAATAAGCAGGTTTTTAGGGGCAAATAGAGTTAGATTGAAAAGCTGTTTCAGGTGATGGATTTTATGTTTCAGGGAAAATCTCCTGAGACTTTCTCAGACAAAGTGGAATTAGACAGCTGTCCTCCTGAATTGGGTGGCATGGAGCAGCTAATAACAGACAGAGGAAATCCTTCCCATCCTTCAGGAGCTCCTCTGCAGGCACCTGCATTATCAGTGGAGTTAAACAGCGGCACAGAGCCAGGTATCATTCAGTTCCTTATTAACAGTACAATATTTGATACCATCTATCAAGCACAGTTTCTAGTTTTCTCCCTTTTTGATCATTGTTAATGCAGCTGGAGGCATAGTACTATGAAATCTAAGCCCTTATCTTTTTCTTTTTTGTGGGGGCTGGGGTCCGGATAACATTGGAGAACCCATTTTTCCCCTATTCAGAGTGTGCCTTTGAGCAATTTGGTCAGCTTACTAGTGAGCATGGTGACCAAAGATGGGAAAAGGAAGGCCAGCAGCGTGGAGCTGAGGAACATGAAATAAGCAGAAGTGAAAAAACAGTAGAAGAAACAGAACTGGTTGTCTTGGATCCAGAACATGTGAGAAATCCTCAAATCTTGTCATTGTTCTTTGCAGACTTGCTATTTTTATTTGTATAAAATGTGTGACGTAAATTGTAAGCAGTAGCTTAGCTATATGCTAAAGCTATGTGTTTAAAAATAGTTTTTGCAAAAGTACTAACTCCTGAATGTGTCTACTCCCTCAATATTAACCTCGAAGTTGCAGGTTCGGAAGTGAGTGATGTAGTGGGCAAATCTGATACTCTATAGTACTCCTGAAAGAGAAGTACTTGCAGCAAGAGTGAGTGGGTGGATTCTCAGATCCCGCTCTTCTGATGTTTCTGACTTTCAAATATTCTCAGTAGTCATTTTCTGATGTCAACAAATACCCGCTATATAACTCTTCTCAGTTGTTACAGTGAGTGTAGCTAAAATAAGAATGCAAGGGACTATGGCAGAAAATACAGTATTTTATTTAATAGTGGGAGTAGCAGTAAGGTTTCTTCATAATTTATTTACACAATTATGTTAAACTTTATCAACCTCATACTTCTTTACAGCCTCTGATGAGAAGATTCCAGGCTGCACTGAAGAATTACCTTACTAAGCAGATGGAAAAAGTGAACCTAGAGCTTCAGGAACTGGTATACGGCATTCTTTCTTTGCTTTCCCACAGCAGCCCCTCTCTGTCCAAGCTGAAGTGAGATAGCTGATTTCCTCTTGTCTTTGCAGAGGACAGCAACGAAGAAGGGCAAAGTACAGAGAGAAGAGCTTGGGGTGATTCTTTACGGAGTGCAGCAGCAGCTGGCTCGTCTGCAGATGGAACTGGAGAAGAGCCACGACCACCGCTCTCAGATGGCCATGGCGCGTCAGCAGGTGGAAGAGGAACTGGAGGGCCTCAGGCTTACTCACAGGAAAATGTGTCAGAACACAGATGATGAGCGCAAGAAAGGTGACTGAGGCAGTCCTTGTAACTTTTCCTAATTCTAGTACTATGTGGAGAAATTAATTTGAATGTAAGTCAAGCATTGAGTTGAAAAATACCATAAAATTAATCAGGAATAATGTGCTCATTGAAAAGTTTCACAGGTATTCCTGTTTGCCATAAAATTTTTATTGTTTCTAAGACCATGTTGCTACGTTGTACTTCTGAGAAGGTCTTAAGGACTGAAACTGTACCTGGCAGGAAGGCTGTTCTGTGACTTGGCAGGAAGAAAATACCCATCACTCTGTTGTGTTTGCCTGTGTCTCTGTAAGGGTGTGATGAGACTGCAAAGATTGTAGGTCATTATGGGCGTCCAGAAGTATGAGAGCACCATCCATGTGGGAGCCCATTCCAGCCAAAGAAATGGACTTGACTCACTCTTTTTGTGTTGCAGGCATTTGGATAAGAAACAGTAAAACAATTTCAATGGCAAGGATAGCTAAGCATTAAATTGCCTAGAAAGTTTTTGCAGGTTGTTGGAAAAAATTAGAGAAGCATTCAACAGACTGAGAAAGAGATGGTTCTGTTTTGGGGCAGCAGAGTGTATTCACAGCATCCTGAGGCCCCTTCTTTGGTTTCCTGGGATTCTGTGTGCTGGGATCAAGGAATTGCTTACCAAGATTTTTAGCTTTGCTTGTGGAGCTATACTCCAAAGCGGATGTAAATTCTCATTTCAGGGAGGGCTGATTTAGCTGGTACGTGTGCGAGCTTTGCTTTGGATGCTTCTATGTTTCTTTCCCTTTCATTTCTGTTTACAGAAAAGTCTGTTTAAACACACACTTTAAATATTTTTCCTTCTGCCTCCCCAGTTTCTGCAATGCAGACCGAGGTTGAAAACCTGGCCTTGCGTCTCTTCTACATGCAGAATATGGACGAGGATATGCGTCATAATATTTTACTAATGAAACAGTCAACAAAGAAGGCTGAGGCAGAGAAGGTCCAGGCTGAGTTGGAGAAGAAAAAACAGGTATCAAGCAAAACTGCTTTAAAATAAATAAATAAATTAATACAGATGTTCGTGGTGAGTCTTGGAGGACATGCTCCCTTGTCAGAAGGAAGGCTGTAGTGAGTGAACCATGGAAGATGTATGGGGATATTTTTCCCAAATAACTGGAAAAAAACCTCCACTTTCTAAAAATGAAAAGAATCCCCACCACTAAGATAGCGGCATGTACTCCCTAAAGGTTTTTGACAAGCCTTATAATAGTAAATCACTCTTCACTCAAGCAAAGGGAGTGTGGAGGCAGAAAGATACTTATTAAAGAAGTGTCATGTGTTCAAGTATCGAGAATTATTCGGAGTCACAATGAGTTTCACAATGGAAAGTGAAAATGAACTTTGAAAATGAACTGAGCCGGTTGGTGTGCTGGAGCTCCCTCTGCTGCCTTCTGCTCGCAGCAGGCCACAGACATTATTGTTAATGCGGCGTTGCATGCAAACAGTTGAAATCGAATGTATTTAGATTCTTTTTTTTTAACAGTCTCTTAAAACATAAATTATTAAGATTCCCAGCTGCTGGAGAGATGGCACAATATAATCCATGCTGACAGGAACAAAAGCGTCTTCAGAGCTGAGGTATCAATTTACTGGATATAAAGTGGAATAAAGTCTCCTTCTCTTGAAAGTTGCCACTGCTGCATTCATGGGTCATTTGTATATGGATGAAAAAGTTTGAGCAGGAATCAGATCTAACCCAGTTGCCAACTTAATTGCTTTTCTAGCCTATGTTATTCTTGTAGCATATAGTTGGTTAAGACTGAGATTACATTATTCATCCTGAACTGTTTGGCTCTGACTCTTTAGGATCTTCTAGTAGACCGCTTAACAAGAAAAGCCTACGAGCTACAAGAACAGATTGCTCTGTTTGACGCTCAGTTTGTGGCCCAGGCGGAGGACACAAAAGTAACTCAGCAAGCAGTAAATGAGGTAGGAAGGTGCTTTTTTCACTTCTGGTTAATATTTCCCTCTGGAGGGACTGACCCGTTTTGCTAACGCTCACGTGGTATGTGCAATGTAGGCCAAAGTTGTATGGTTTGTTCCTGTTTGCAGGAATGAAGGCTTTTTTTTTTTTCCTTTGTCCTTAAGAATTGCCTGTAAATCACTTCCTCCCCCGTGTTAGTTGAAGCTGTTCCTGCCCAATATATTATGAACAGAAAAAGAATATTGCATTGTCACATGAACTTGGTTTCTCAACCCAGTATAGATTCATCCTGTCTACAAATTCTCTCCTCCTTAGGCTTGTATGGAGGTACAGGCTATTAACATGGAGAAAAAACGATTGATGAACCACTGGAATAGTAGCTTGGCTGGAATGAAGCAAAGAGATGAGGCCTATATTGCCACACAAGAGTTGCTGAGGTATCTGAAAACAGTCCCAGGAGAGACCTCAAATAATGTGGACAGGAGGGATTCTAAAAGGGCCAGTGTGTCTTCTATCAAGTTTATTGCTGTATGTGCAGGATATGTCAGACAGAACAAGTTTGCTGCTCTAAAGCACATAATAAGGTTGAAGGATAAGAAGCACAGTTCTTTGTTACTATTTTCTTTATCCAAAACACAACTCTCTCCCTCAAACTGTGTGGGTTTTTTAAAGCTGTTTAGAGTTTTTCTATTCATATTTTATTCCTTTAGAAGAGTTCCTTCACCTTTGCAACATCTCTAAATCCAAAGAGCTAGACAGCAAGAAGGATTTATCTATCGCTTTCAGTTAGGATTTTGTGGTGCCTTTAGAAATCTTCAGGAAAACCTTCCTATCATTGCCAGAGGAAGTTTTTATTTGGTCCGGAGTCTTAAAGCTTGTCTGATTCTCTGAGAACAAACAATATGCTTTTATTGGTATCCTGGTGGCATCCTGGTAAGAATGTGGGGGTGGGGACAGGACTGAAAGAAGGAACTAATTTTCCTACATACATTTCCTTTTAAATCTTACTGTCTCCATCCATCTTCTGATGACTCTGCACTGTCACAGCAGACCAGCCTTTATAAAGATCTTCCTTCTTGGTCAGCTGTTGCTGCAATAGCCTGTTTGAAAAGAGGAATTTGTAGGTGACTGTTCAGCAAACGAATCAACCCCTGTGATAATTTTCCATCCCTGTTTGCCTCTCCAGCAAGTACAGACATGACCTCAAGTCCCTAGAAATGGACATCCACGGCTGTAGAAAGTCAATCAGGAAGGAGGAGGAGAAGAACGAGTTGCTTGTCACCATCCTGAGCCGTTCACAGAATGATGCAAACTTGACAAAGAAACGGATTGCCCAATGCCTTTCAAGGCAGGAGGCCTTGAAGGTTGAATCTAGCACCTATATTCGCATTCTCTATGAGACAGAGCAGACCCTCAACAGGACCAAGATGGTGAGAAGAGTTACCTGGAAGAAGAATCCTTTTGAATCGGATATTTAATCCCCTTCCCCAAACAGTTGTGGTGATCCTATCTCTGTCTTCCCTACTTTTTAGGATCAAGCTGCTCGTCTGAATGAGTTGCTCTCCATCAGTAAGGATATAGAGAAAGGGACTGATGCCAAAGAGCAGATGGAGAATGAAATCATGGCAAAGCTTCAGGATCAGATGATGTCCAGCAAAGCCACAAAGCACTTCTCACAGTTGGCTGCAAAACTTCATAGGAGAAAAACAGATCTGGTACAGTATCTCTTCTGTTTGGGAGGGCAAGGGAAGGAAATAGCCTACAGCAGTGTTTCTCAAGTGTGTTTTGTCAGTGTCTTCATTTTGTTTTTCAGGTCTACAGTTGAAGCTTTGCTGGGTTTGCAACTTCAATTTAGTTCTCCCAGTGATCTTATTGCAGGATTCTTGTGTATGCAAGAGAGTTGGCCAAAAAGGCCTGACAGATGACATACTATTCTTTCTTTATGTAAAAAATGGGGCAGAATGATGAATCCTGGGAGTGCTCACTATAAAGTGGTTCAAGTTCTTATGTATTGCAGGAAGACAGTGGATATGTGGTACTTCTATAGTCCACATCAAACTGGCTTAATATCTCTGTATACTGCGTTGCAGAATGTGATCCAGACATACTCTTAGTTTCCAAATAAGGATTACAGTCCAAGGAACAGTCAAACCAGACCCACAGTTCTTCATGGCATGATAAGTTACTCTCTTTGGGAGTGTGTAACTGGTACAGATAGGAAAACCAGAAGATGCAAACATAGTAGTTACTGTATTGACTCGTGTGGGCTGGTGCTAACACAACGTGCTTACACCCCTGTATTTCCACAGATTATTTCAGCCTGCCCCTGGGTTTTTTTATCAGGTGCATATTTTAAGTAACTGGAAGACTTCCAGGGTTGGCTTTCATTGTGAGAAAGGCCTCTCCACCCCCCATTCCGACAGGTTCGCAGACAAGCGGGTACCCTGCATTGACTCCTATTAGCATCTGTGTTGTGTAGTAGAATATAGTGCAGGCACCATGGACCTGGAGAAGACCAAATTGTAACCTCTTGCGGTGTGCTCCAGGCTGTGCAGAAGTAGCAGGCAGGCTCTTGAAAACCTGGCTGCATTTGTACTGCACTCAAACAAAAGGCATACTCACGCTTTCTGGCTAGGACAGTTGTTAGGTGAGGGATATGTTTGTCAGGCATGGTGGACAAGGTACAATATAGTAATGTCCTACTACTGTTAGCCAGGTAACGAGAGACTTCCGGGCAGGGAAGATAATTGCAGAAGTGATGAGTGTGGTCTCTTAAAGGGTTTTGGGATGCTTGTGCTCCTTAATGCTTTTCAACAGCCTTATGGCAGAGGCAAATATTCCTATCTCATGTCAATAGGTGGAGAAACAAAGGTACAGAGAGGGTAAGTAGCTTGCTTATGGCTTGTAGCATAAACCTGGCGGTAGAATCTAAATCCCCTGATGCCTGTGCTTTGATAAGTGGATGTTACAAATCGAGGAGTTGCTGTTGGTGACAGTAATTTGTCTTCTGTCTGTTGATATTCCTAGGAGCTGCATTGTTCCAAGGCTGAGAATGATATCGCCCAGGTTATTCTGAATGCAACTCATACCAACTGCAGGCTGACAATTCTCAAAAAAACCCTTGGTGAGCTGGACAAGGAAATAAAAAGCATCCATGATCTGATCAGCCGCAGTGAAAGTGAGATTGCAAAGTGCAGTCTCCTGATTGAGAACAAGCAAGGGGTCATCAGCCAGTACAACAGGAGGTTGGAGATGATTCTTTCTCGGCAGGGGGTATGTACCTTTATGTTTCAATTCCAAATTTTATTTTATTCTTTGTGATCACCACAGATGCCCTTGAAAAATGTACCTGCGTAAGTGCTGGATCGCTAAAACTTTCAGGCATCAGTATTGTGATTTAAAAGCTGCACTAGTTAATGTAAATGTTTACTTTTGTCAAACAGTTCTTAATGCATGTGAAGAGGAGCTGGCATGAGGGAATCATTGTGAAATGAGGGTGTGCCTACCACAGATTTCTGCAGGGAGTCGTCTCTACCTGATGAAAATGTTGAATGACATCAATACTCTGGGAGTAAATAGGATCTCATTATAAAATCTGCAAAGACTGACAAGGGGAGAATCAAACAGGCAGAGTGACTTAAGTTGCTTGATGGTTGTCCCCATTCAGATGATGCCCAGATATGTCCCTAACACTGTGAGCCATAAGATCTTTATGGACGCCAGTGTAAAAATGAGTACTAGGGCATATACTCTGCAAACTGTTGAATGTCCAGATGTACCTGTTGGAAGAGCTTAGGAGGCCCTTTCGCTACAGAGTCTGAGAACCTTTTGGGCTTCTGTTGAATTTATTCCTGTGATGTCAGGAATGATTAGTCCCATTCAACTCATGACAAATAGAGGCAGAAAGTAATGGTATAGTTGAAGTATTTAGTAGGCATCTCAGCAGCTGGACTGGCCTTCTGCAATAATGCTATACAGAAGTGCTCCAGCAGCTTCTGCCTAATTAATCCCAACCCTTGCTCTTGTACAGCAGCAAGAACTGGGACCGTTGGAAATTGAGATCAACAGGCTGACCAAGCAGATAGAAGAATATAATTCTGAGGTGATGACATTACAGAAGTACTGGCTCAATCTGCAGAAAGAGCTAGTGAAGTTAACACACGAACGGGAAGAACAAGTAGCCTCCTTGGACATGTTAAAGAAACAGATTACAATAATGCAGCAGAAGAAAGTGCGCACTGAAAGTAAGTCATTCCCTAACTCCTTCTTGAAATGTTAATCCGTGAATGGACAAAACAGGGAGTGAAGGCTTACAGATGGGTAATGCTAGACCTCCACCAAAGAATGCCCTCAGTTCTCCTATATATGTGTGAGCAATAATGCAAATAGCCCCAGTACTATACTTGGGGGCTAAAAGCCAGGCACCTTCTGCTGTTTTGCATGTTGTTTATTTCCTATAATGATCAATCCTGCTGTCTTAATTGACACAGTCAAACCCTAAGTGACCATATCACATGTTACACTTCTTCAATAAAGTTTGCAAGTAGTTGGTAGGTAAAGGTCCCCACCAATGACAGCACTTTCCTTGGCCAAAACCACATCTTTTCCACAGTGGTCTTCTTCAAAACCATATTTGATTTTTGGGCTTGTGGAAAAATGTTTTGGCTGGATACATGGGACACAGGTGGCTCCACACGTAGTGTTGTCTGGTCTAATAGCCGTTTGTCACACCTTGTCTGTATTCTACCCAGTAGTGCCCCTGGGAATGTTAAGGCTTTCTTAGCAGGAAACAAAAGAACAGAAAGACATTGAACGTCACATGAGGAACATGTCAAATGACTTGATAAAGTTGAATGTGTTGATCAACAAGAACAACAGCAGCTTTAAGGAGCTGCAATATGGCAACATTATCACAGAGAATGAGTTTATACGCTCTCTCAAGGTACAGAGGCTTGACATCTCATTTCCCGGTCTCAACCACCCATGCAGATCAGAGGCAAACAATGTTCCTATAAATCTTTCTCAGTCTGACAATGTCGTATTGTTTTATGCTTCCCAAATCTAGGCAGCAGAAAAAGAATCAGTTGAGATGCAGGAGAAGCACAGTCAATTGACTGAGGAGAAGGAAAGACTCCTGAACAGCCTGGTGGAAGCAGAGTAGGTACCAGAGAGATTCTTGCTTTGTGCCACCATCTTTGAACTTTTCTATATGTGTCCATATTACCTGTCTTCTCCAATCACCAAACTGAACCAGCACCAGCAAACGGGCTTCTGTCCTTGGAGAAGATGAAAGGGAGTTTAATGAATTTGTGAAATGCAGAAATTGAAAGGTGCTTTAGCTGTTTCTGGAACCAGCAAGAGCTGAGAGGATGATGGTTTTAATGATTCCAGCATGCTTGTGCTGGATGTTGCCAAGATCTATATGGGAAGACTCTGCATGCTATCTCCTCTGCCAGTAGCTTAGAGCAAGCGTGCTGCACTGGGCAATTAACTGGGGTCCATCAGCCCCCTGTCAGTCTGGGCTTGCGTGTTTTTACAGTCATCATGCCATTTTCTAAATTGCGGAGCTTCCTGTCTGATTTCACGCTGCTCTAGTGCTGCCCTTTTACATGTCCTGTATGCAAATTCTTAGTTTCTGCTGAAACATTCAGCTTTGTTCACAATGGATCTCAGGAGTGTGCTGCCACTGATGCACAGAGAGAGCATCCTCTCTTGTTTACAAAGGCACTGCTTTCCCTTTCTGTCATTGAAGGCATCAAATCATGCTATGGGAGAAAAAGGTCCAGCTGACAAGAGAGATGCGTGCAGCAGTGGATTCTGAAACAGGACAAGGTGAAATCCAAGCCATGAGAACAGAGATTCATAGGATGCAAGTAAGGCACTGGGGAAGACCACAGAAGAGGGCTGCACACAGCGTATTCGGGTTTGGAGTTGCTGAAACATGAGGCAGGAGATGAGAAACAGGCTGGAGAAGTAGCATCTTCAAATCCATAGCAGTATTGGCAATCTTACCACCCTGCAGCTAGATGGGATTAAATACATCCAGCATGCTCGCACTTTATGCATTCCTTGTGCATGCTATGTGATAGGCTGCAGCGGAATCTAGATGTACCCAAGAAATCAATTTAAAATGTAGTATGTCTGCCACCTCATTCTGTGACCCCAATTTATAAGCAAAGAAATGTTGATTACTAAATATTGCATCATCTTGATCACTGGTTAGGGAAGTCTTCTATCTTCTGGCAAAGCAACTCTTCCCTTTCATTCTCGGGTTACTTCTGCTCTTCTGCTTTTGCTATTGCTAATGAGCCCCAGTGAAACATTTTGAAGGTTACTTTAGATGAGTTGGTAATCCAGCCCTCTGCCTTCCAGATCCACACAGGGCAAACTAAGTTTGGATTTAGAGCAAATTTGGCTTGCCAAGGCTCACGTGTCACGTGTATCTGCTTTATGTTGATGGGATGTGCCACACAGAAGACATCAGTTAGATGCCATTTGTAAACCTTCATTATTTTCAGCCTATTTTATATCTTGACAAATGGCAGGTCCGCTACGGCCAGCTGATGAAGCAGCAGGAGAAGATGATTCGTGATATGGAGGCATCTGTTTCTCGTAGAGAGGCAATAGCAGTTCGTGGAGAGGGACAGAACAAAACAGATAAGAAATATATCACCAAGAGCGACTTCCACCGCAAGAAACAGGAGCTGAGAAAGAGCATCAGTGAAACCCAGAAGGTGAGCAAGTAAAGCAGGGCGGCAAGAGTTCACGTAGCCTGTATTTGCCTTGTCATGAGCACCAGTGCGCACTTAGCACAGACACATGGAGTGTCAGTACACAGATGCTGCACATGCACAGGTACAGCACTGTGCAGGCGGCAGGCTTTGGAAACTCTTTAAAAAAAAAAAAAAGAAAAAAAATGGTTCTGGGAAGATGGGCCGGGAATGCAGGTGGAGTAAAGAACCAGAATCCGCCATTTCCTTCTCCTCCATTTACTAGAACACTCAAGACTGCAACAAAACCATCCTGGAGCTGGAGAGCACCCGAGCGTCCCTTAGTGCCACCCTCTTGGAAAAGC